CCATCTAAAAATTTTGTCTGAAAATTACAAATAAATACAAAAATAATATTACAGTCTGTGAGGTGAAGTTCCAGAATGTTTGTCCAGTGTAAAAACTCTGTATTACTGCCTTGCTGTTTTGTTTTGTTCTGTTCTTCTTAAAAGTCAATTGTCAAGCTTTGGGTTTCTGAATAAATGCACCCTATCTTACTTTTGAATCTGAATTTTTGTTGATTTAGCTCATTTTGCTTAGCTTACAGTACGTTGCATATTGAGAGAGAATTTGAACACAAAAGAACCTGATTAAAAAGTGTATTCAAACAAACATAAACACAATGTAATGAAAAGGCCTTGTGACAAAATCATCCTGCCTCTGTCTGTGCACGTTGAGATAGCAGTCAGTGTAGAGCTCTCTCATTTCGTCTCCAGCAATTACCCTCTCCATCTTACCTAGCAATCAAAAACTTGTCATGCTGTACAAGGCTAAATGCAGCCATAATAGAATGTTCCTGTGATCTTTTGTAGTAGAACTAGCCCTGTGGTACTGCCGGGCTCTGTGTGAGTGTGTCTTTTATAGCCAAGAATAGTCTGCATGACGTTCTTTAGTGGAACACAAAATATAATATCCAGGGCAATCTTTTCCATATAGCCTAATAATTAAAGTAAATGCAAACTGGGCTGTTTTGAAATAACAAAAAGCACACACACATACAAATGATTTATTTTTTTATTTTTTTATTTTATTAAATTTACATTTTGCCTATTTAATTTTAATGTTTATTTAATGTTTAATTGGTTAAATAAACTCCTAGTTTGGTAATAAGATTGCAAAAATGCAATAAATAAATAATAAAATAGCTTAACTTTAGTTTTACCTCTGTAGGCTGCCATTTGTTTGTTTGTCTGATTGTTTGTTTGTTTGTTTGCATTTCAGGCCCAATTTTTGAAAGGATATTTCCTAAATTTCCGATCGTTGCTTCAGGTTTCCGTGATAGTAGATGATACCGCTCTGGATGTGTCAGTAATTTGTTTTATGTTCTATCTATTATTTTGTGTATCATCTTATATCTGTATATTTTATTATATTTTACATCTATTTTATTGTAATGTTTATTGCTACAAAAATTTTACATGCACAAAAGTAGCTCGCTGATAACCCTCCCTTTTTTAACTTTAAGCACGAATTGCATGGGAGGAAAAGTCCAGAACTAATTCTCCTTCCTTGTTTTCTTGAGGAAAGAAAGTCCTAAATGTTTGAGGTGAAATGACAGTAAACGATGACAGACTTTTAATTTAATCTCTTTGTCTTTAATACACTCTAAAAAATGCTGGGTTTTTTTAACCCAACTTTGGGTCAAATATGGACTAACCCAGCCGTTGGGTTAAATTTTTACATTCCATTTTTAACCCAACATTTCGGGTTTGTCCATATTTGACCCAAAATTGGGTTAAAACAACCCAGCATTTTTTAGAGTGTAACCAAATACAGAAAAACTACGGCAAAAATTTCTAAAGGTCCCTCGCACTACTGTGTCCTGTTTGTAAAATATAAAGTCATTGTAAACCAAGGCCCTGCACTCTAAAAATAAACCAGCATCATTTCTGGTAAGAGCTGTTTTCTCCTCTCTCCGTCCTTTCTGTGGATGGCAAGGTTAGCTCCCATCAACTTAGTTCCATAACAAATAGTTGACAAACACAAAGATCTTTCCCCATATGGTCAATGCCAGCATTATACTCAAAGGAATCACCCCGCCTCTTCTCTTGATTTTCGGTTCTATTGTCTTAACAGTTTGTTCAGTTTTCAGCCTGTGTTAAGTGTTTCATCAAATCCCCCCTGAGAGACTCACCACTGACCATTACACCCCATCTCTGCTACCGTACTTTCCGATTTTAGCTCTTTTATTAAACTCAAGTGTCAAACCTACCGCTGCTTTGGGGTTGAACGGTGAGCGTAGTATTCCCTGAACACCGGAAATCTAGTGTCTTGCATTTCATTATCACCGCAATAATATGTAACACGGCTGGTGATGCTAGAATCCCTTGAAAACATTACGAAAACATGTCTACTTTCACATCTACACAAATGACTTTGCCTTTGACTCAGAAGACAAAAACAAGAGCATCCTTCCCATGGGAATACAGATGGCTTCTCACAGTCTGGGTTAGGAAAGACATGCAGTTAGGTATTTTGGAAGGTAAAGACTGCCACTGGTGTTTGTATCCCGTAAAAGTGTAATCTCTTTAATCTTGTGTCTGGGAAAAGCCTGGCTGGTGTCCTGAGAGATAGATTTGTAGGGAGAGATCAGACCAAGACACCAGAGGGATTAATGTCTTACCCCCCAAAAATGCCCGAACACCATCAAAGATAAGGAGCACTCGGAGAGAAACGGAAATGTTGGGACTTGTGGCCGTGAACCCGGTTGTTTCTGATACACAGAGCTTACATTCTCCTAATGGCTTACTGATGACACAGATGTATTGTCCATATTCAGACTCATTTCATAACTGCAGCATCCTGACCATCAACGGTTCTCGCACAGAATTGAAGCATTTGTTATGACTTTTGTTTATTTTTTAATAGATAATGATTTTTTTTTTTTCCTGTACCAGTAGAATGGTCGAAATTAAAGGAATTTAATCAAATAAGAAATATGATCATTCAAAAATGGTTTCTGGCAAATCCTTTCTTTACAAAGCACTATGTAAAGAAGGCTAATGTGGATTAGAAGTGATGAAAATGGGAGAAAATATGAGAAACAAGATACTCCATTGAAATAATTTCATGAATATTTGGATAGTGTTAACTCTTTACCCACCAGTATTTTTAAGCCCCCAGCAAGTTTCAGCATTTTTAATTTTTGCAAAACTTTAATGGTCCCCAGAATATTTTGTAGTATGAATATCCAACCCGGTCTCACCCCAAGACGTCATATAACTGACGTTTTGGGACGTCTTTTGACCATACGTCAATATTCGCCTTTTTAGGGCCCCCTTAAACGTCGGTAGATGAGGTTATGGGATCCTAACTCTACCCCATACCTAAACCTAACCCTAAACCTAACCCGTCACCTAACTGACGTTAAAGGTAAAGCGTCAGTTGTATGACGGCCCGGGATCGCCATCTACCGACGTTTAAGGGGGCCCTAAAAAGGCTGATATTGACGTATGGTCAAAATACGTCCCATAACGTCAGTTATATGACTTTTTGGGATGAGACTGTGTTAGAATATCTGAATATCTTTTTCCAGTACTTGCATGTTGCAACAAAATCGGAGGAAATCAAAAGTGTTAAAACTACAAACATGGCGAATGCAACTGTTAAATTGAGAGGTTTAGATAAAGGGGTTTGAGTGACTAATGATAATCATTTAATATTTTATTATTATTGTTTTTTTTATGTTATCCATTTTGTATTTCATCTGCAAAAACAATGTGGTCTTTTATAAAGATCCGGTTGGCCATTCACTTTTAAATGTGTAATTATGAATCACAATTATCACATGAAGAAAATTCTCCCATGAAAGACTGTGATTGACAGGCCAGTTTACAGTCACAGGATGCGTGTAACTGGAAGCAGCATATCAGTTGTTTCTGCTTCTTTTTCATTTGTTTCTAGATCTGGAGATTCTGTACTATTTCAAAAGATGTGTAATAGCACCCCTTATTGTATAATAGTAAAGAAAAAAAAACATGAATTGCAGAGGAATTCGCTGTGTCATAAATGACGGAAAATTGTGTTATTGGTGCGAAAAGGGTAAATTGGGTGAGCAAACTTTTTAATTTTTGTCATCATGAAAGCAATATAAAAAGAAGATAAAACATAAACTTGACGTTGATAGGTTGTGGCATCACAATTTCAGAGTGACAGCAGACAAGGAAAAATATCCAAATGCCCATCCAATTCATACGTTTAAGAGACTTCCAACATTGATTTCTGGCAAAGCATTGTCTATATTTGATTTATTTATGATTTATACTTTGCATGCACAAAAACAATTATTTCGTCAGAATAAATGGTAATGGAGAAGGATTTTGGTCCAGATGGTGTAGTTTCGTCATCTACCAGCAGGGGTTAACTGGGTCATGCTGACCACCAAAACCTTGACCTCTTTGTCAAAACACATCCTTTGTTTACCTGACAATAAATAATTGTTCAAGGTCTATTCACAGTTTTAGACTTTGGTTGCAATTGCCAAAGAGAATATGCACAGGTGCTGTCCAACCCTCTTGTGACGACCCCTGCTGTTGGTCTTGAGTGTTGCTGTTGGTACCTGAGCCCGCTAATTGCATCAAATGGCCTAATTGCCTCAATGGAAACACCTGTGACCTTAGACGCTTAAAAGATCACCATCTGAGCCAAGGAAGGAGGGCTCTTTGGTTTCGGACTTTGCTTTGGTGTTTGGCTTGCGTTGTATTTTGTTGCTTTTTGCATTCACATTTCAAACCTCAACATTGAATTACCCTTTCAACCATGCACCGTGCTCTACACACTGATTTTGCTGATTACTACAGAAACACTTTTATTTTCTTTAATTGTTTTCATTTCATTATTCTGTTTTGTCTTATTATTTGTAGTTAAATAAACATTATTTTTGAGCCTATAATTTGGTTTGCGTGTGTCCCTTGTTTTTGTTGCTTCCCTTGAGCCAAGGGTCGTAACAAATTGGGGGCTCGTCCGTCCTTTGATAATTTGATTGCGTACATTTTTGGATGCTTAATTTGATAATTGATTATTTGTTGGACACACGAAAATGTTTTTTGCCAAAGTCAATTTGTTCACCGTGTGAAATCACCAGTTGGTAAGTGAATGTGCAATATTGTTTTTTGAACGTGAGTTTTCTCTGATAGGCATAGCGGCATGTTTCTTTTGAGATGTGTCGGGTTTGTTATTTTTGTGTAGTGTTGCGGTGAAAGTGGGTAGTAGTAATTATCTCGGGAGCACATCCGTGGTGTTGAAGGCGTCGCTGGTTTGACCAGTTGCGTTTTTCACCCAGCGGGCTACAGTGCATAAATACCCCCACCGGTAATCGCATGAAGACTAGGGTTGAGTTAGGTAGAGTATTGGAAAGGTAGAGGGAAAACTCTCGTTATTTGATTGCACTGTGCTGATTATATTTGTTCTGGTGATTTCAGCATGGCTGATATTGATGAGTTTGTTAGTTCACCTTCTCATGAACTTTTGAACGGGTGTACTAAAGAGCAATTATTGAGTATTGCTGAACATTATGAAATTGTGATAAAAGATAAAAGGCTCAAAGAAAATGTTAAGACAGCTTTGAAAATTGAGTTAATTAAACAAGGTATCTTAGATATCGAGATGGAGGAAAAAGATGTACCGATTGCACCTGACTTAAAAAGTAATTTGTCTTTTGAACAGCAAAAAGAGCTGCTACTTCTACAGATGGACCATGAGAACATAAAACTGCGTGCTGAACAAGGTAAAAGGGAATTAGAAAAGGCAAAGTTGGATTTGGAATTTCTCAAGCTCAACCTAGTGAAAGAAGGTAAGCTTTCTGGTTCTGGTCAGGAACAGAATGTGTTTTTTTCGATCAATTCAAACTTAAAACTCATTCCTAAATTCAACGAGGAAGATCCTGATACTTTCTTTACTCTATTTGAACGCATGGCAGAATTAAGGAACTGGTCCGATGATAATCGTGTTGCTCTACTACAGTGTGTGTTAACGGGGAAAGCACAAGTAGTCTTTTCTTCATTGTCGCTTGACGATTGTAAAGATTATGAACGAGTTAAATCTTTAATTTTAAAGGCGTATGAATGTGTACCCGAAGCATACAGACAGCGCTTTCGATGGCAGAAAAAAGACCAGTTACAAACAAACTTAGAATTTGTGCGTGATCTGAGAAAACACTTTAATCATTGGTGTTCATCATTAGACATTAAAACACTGGAGGATTTAACGCATTTGATGGTGTTGGAACAATTTAAAAATTCAGTCCCAAGCCGTATAGCTGTGTACATTGGTGAGCATAATGTTAAAACACCAGAGGAAGCGGCTAGGTTGGCCGATGATTTTGTACTGACGCACAAAACCACTTTTGTCGATTGGCATGCTCGTGATGTTCAGTACATAAAGTCTCCGTCTAACGGTAACCGCGTTTCCACAGGAACTTTTGATCCAAACAAGATTTGCAATTACTGTCATGAGAAAGGACACTGGAAAGCAGATTGTCCGGTCCTTAAAAAGAAGTCCCAACATAATGCACAGAGCTCACATGTTAAACCTTCTGCTCTCGCGGCACCAGTCCTGTCTTCAGGGAGTGAAATTTTTGAAAATCAAAAATTTGATGTTGATTTATCTTCTTACTCGCCTTTTATTACAGAGGGGCGTGTATCCCTGGTTGGAGAGAAAGAGGAAATCCCTGTTAAAATCTTGCGGGATACTGGCGCAATGGATTCATTTATTTTGGAATCAGTATTGCCTTTTTCCTCACAGTCTCATACTGGTGAGAGTGTGTTAATTCGTGGAATAGGACTGAATACTCTGTCTGTGCCTCTTCATAAGGTAAGGCTTCAGTCTGATTTGATTCAAGGTGAGGTTGTAATGGGAGTACGACCAGCTTTGCCAGTGGAGGGAGTCCATATAATTCTGGGGAATGGACTGGTAGGTGAAAGAGTGTGGGCTGATACTTCAGTGTTTCCCATAGTGATCACTGATAAGAAAGTTGAATCTGAACTGAGTTCTTTGTGTCAGGATTCAGCGTGTGTCGTCACTCGTGCAATGAAAGGTGCCAATAGGGATGTAGTATGTGGTCAAAAAGAGGTTAAATCTGATAAAGTCGGCATGAAGTTGTTTATGCCTGATTTGTCTGCTTTGTCTTTTCCTGTTTCTGCAGAGGAATTAGGGAAGGAACAGCGGAATGACTCCTCTTTGGATGAACTCTTCCGGAGTGCAGTGCCTCCAGTAGAGGAGTGTAACGTTTCCCGTGGATATTTTGTTCAAGATGGAGTGTTGTTGGGAAAATGGAGTCCTCACAAAAATTTTGTGGGAGATCCTGTCTTTCAGGTTGTTGTTCCTACTAAATTTCAACAAATGATGATCGAAATTGCGCATGATCAATCTGGTCACCAGGGGGTGCGTAAGACTTATGATCGCTTGTTGCGATATTTTTTTTGGCCGCGTTTAAAACGAGACATCTCTGCTTATATTAAGACATGTAAAACCTGCCAATTAACGAGTAAACCAAACCAGGTGTTGAAACCAGCTCCACTGAAACCAATTCAGGCTACTGGTGAACCTTTCGAACATCTTATTGTTGATTGCGTAGGGCCACTTCCCCGTTCGAAGTCAGGTAGCAGTTATTTATTCACTGTGATGTGTTTGAACACGCGCTTTCCTGCGGCATATCCACTACGTACCATTACGTCCCGTTCTATTGTGAAAGCTTTGACCCAGTTTATATCTGTTTTTGGGATTCCAAAAATCATTCAAAGTGATCAAGGTTCAAATCTCACTTCGCATCTCTTCCAGCAGGTGTTAAAACAGCTGCACATTAAGCATAATCAATCGACGGCGTATCATGCACAAAGTCAGGGTGCATTGGAGAGATTCCACCAGTCGTTAAAGTCACTTCTCCGTGCGTACTGTGTGCAACTGGATAGAGATTGGGAGGAGGGTTTGCCGTGGATGATGTTGGCTGCCCGTGAAGTAGTGCAGGAAAGTACGGGTTTCAGCCCTAATGACTTGGTCTTTGGCCATAATGTTCGTGGATTGTTGTCTGTCTTTCAGCAGGTTGGTGAAGCTGTAGAACCTCCTAAAAACTTGGCGTCATATGTTTTGGGGTTTAAAAATCGACTCATCCAGGCTAGAGAATTAGCTAAATTAAATCTAGGAAAACATCAGAAAGATATGAAGCAATTGTATGACCGTACGGTTGAACATCGAGTGTTTGAACCAGGCGATCAAGTTCTTGTCTTACGGCCGATCGTATCCTCTCCTTTTGAAGCTAAATTTGATGGCCCATTTGTTGTACAACGAAAATTGACTGATGAAAATTATGACGTCTCGATGCCATCGCGTAAAAAGTCAGTTAAACGGTGCCATGTAAATCTATTAAAACCCTATTATGAAAAAGAAACCAAACCTGTAGCAAATGTGATTTCTTTACATTCAGCACTTCCCACCGTTTCTATCGGGGGGGGTAATGTTGAGAGTTTGGTGGGTGAGGAAGAGGAGACTCTCTCACCCGATGATTGTGTCTTTCGTGGCCGTTTGAATAATTCCGAGTCATTGCACAATTTGGAGTTTAGTCTCTGTCATTTATCGCCTGGAAAATGTCAGGAATTATGTAGAATATTGCGTAGTTTTCCTGAATTGTTTGGAGATGTGCCATCGCGTACCGATTGGGTAGAACATGATATCGATGTTGGGGACGCAAAGCCTATTAAACAGCGTTTTTATCGTGTTGCGCCTGAGAAACGAGAACTGATAGAGAGGGAAATTAAGTATATGCAGGATCACGATATTGCAGTAGCTTCTTTTTCTGATTGGGCTTCTCCGTGTATCTTAGTTGGAAAGTCAGACGGTACTGTAAGATTTTGTACGGATTTCCGTAAAGTTAACGCCTTAACAAAGCCGGACTGTTTTCCTTTGCCCCGAGTCGAGGATTGTGTGGACCAAGTTGGTTCAGCCAAGTTCGTCAGCAAGTTTGACTTGCTGAAGGGCTATTGGCAAGTGCCTTTAACCAAGAGAGCACAAGAAATTTCATCTTTTGTCACCCCGTCAGGATTACATTCTTACCGGGTCATGAGTTTTGGTCTACGAAATGCTCCGGCGACTTTTCAACGCCTCATGAATCGTGTAATCTGTGGTCTTGAGGGTTGTGCCGTCTATTTGGACGACTTAGTCGTTTTTAGTGACAGTTGGGAGTCTCATTTAACACGGTTGCGTTCGGTGTTGAGACGTTTGTCTGATGCTCGACTTACCGTGAATTTGGCCAAATGCGAGTTTGCGAAAGCGACCATCACGTATCTTGGGAAGGTAGTGGGGAATGGAGAAGTGCGTCCGATACAGGCTAAAGTGCAAGCCATCCAGAATTTTCCTTCCCCAACGACCAAGAAAGAGCTTATGAGGTTTTTAGGGTTGGTAGGATATTATCGATCTTTCTGTTGCAATTTCTCTACTGTGGTAGCACCACTGACAGACTTGTTAAAGGGTAAGACAAAGTTTTTATGGTCTAACAGTTGCGAATTAGCTTTTGAGAACGTAAAATCCCTGCTGTGTTCAGCGCCCGTGCTTATGGCTCCGTGCTTTGATAAACCCTTCACGTTGCACGTTGATGCCAGTAATGTTGGGGCTGGAGCTGTTCTTCAGCAGTCGAATGTGGACGGAGTAGACCATCCAGTTAGTTTCTTTTCGAGAAAGTTTAACTCATACCAACGTAACTATTCTGTGGTCGAAAAGGAAGCGTTAGCCCTGATTTGGGCCTTGCAGCATTTTGCGGTTTACCTTAACGCCTGTGCACCTATTGTGATATACACCGATCATAATCCATTAATCTTTCTTAATTCTTTGCAGTGTCCTAACCAGAGGTTGGTTCGCTGGTCCTTGTTTTTGCAATCCTTCTGTCTGGATATTCGACACATAAGAGGGTTGGAAAATGTGGTGGCTGATGCGCTGTCACGCGCTCCTGATGCATTTTAATCTATTGGATTCAAATGTATCATTCTTCTTGGCGTTATTGGGAGCTGTCTTTGGTCCTGAACTTGAGTAATATATTATGCCTATTTATTGAGATTTGTTTGTTCTGTTACAGGGATCTTTGTGGGAGTCCCTGTCTTTATGGGGAGGGGTGTGACGACCCCTGCTGTTGGTCTTGAGTGTTGCTGTTGGTACCTGAGCCCGCTAATTGCATCAAATGGCCTAATTGCCTCAATGGAAACACCTGTGACCTTAGACGCTTAAAAGATCACCATCTGAGCCAAGGAAGGAGGGCTCTTTGGTTTCGGACTTTGCTTTGGTGTTTGGCTTGCGTTGTATTTTGTTGCTTTTTGCATTCACATTTCAAACCTCAACATTGAATTACCCTTTCAACCATGCACCGTGCTCTACACACTGATTTTGCTGATTACTACAGAAACACTTTTATTTTCTTTAATTGTTTTCATTTCATTATTCTGTTTTGTCTTATTATTTGTAGTTAAATAAACATTATTTTTGAGCCTATAATTTGGTTTGCGTGTGTCCCTTGTTTTTGTTGCTTCCCTTGAGCCAAGGGTCGTAACACTCTTTTCTCTCTCTCTCTCTCTTATTTCTTTACTTTTAACAAAACCATGCATATGTTTATTGCCACTCTTGAGGTTTGTCATTTTTTGTTGTTATTTCCGAATCTTTTTTTTAATGAGCCCCTGGATTAAAATATAAAAGAGATGAAAGGGAGCATGTGGCCTGTCGACTCTCTCCCTCCTGGAGTGTAAATTAGGCCTCAAAAACAAATGCTGACTCTCTAAGTGTTGCCTGTTATGATAGCTATCATCATTACCATCACTATATCAAAAGCTCTTTATGTCATGCTGGCAGTACAAGTATACAAACTCCCCTTGATTTACACAGTCCAACAAGTGATCCATCACCCACCATAAATGAGAGTGTTCTGACTTTCGATAAATTAAGCAGTTATTCAATGGCATATTATTATTATTATAAGTGTTTGCAAAATGGTTATTAGCCTTATAAACATAAATGCATTACTGGATTTATGATGCATTCACAGAGGCTTTTATTTTGAATGTTGAACAAACTACCATTCAAAAGTAGCACAAATATTCACTGCATTCTACAAAAAAATGTGACCTTGTGATAATTGAGAGACCAAAAAACAAACAAAAACAACTATAAGTTTCAATCATAATTTGAATTAGTTTTAGACTGAGTTTAGCATATCACATTAGCAATTTCCAAAAACCATGGGATGTCAATTAACCATACTGACTTAAAAAGTTGATAACTACTAACCCAACGTTAATACATATACCCATATCCACTCTTGTCTGTTGTTTTGTCCTGATTTAGCTGTAGTAAATAAAGCAACATTACGTTTGGCTCATTATTCAGAGCTTGTGCAATAGAGAGCACACAAAGCTCTTGTGTATACCCTCAAATTGTTACCAATTTCTGTAAGCAACTCAAGCCAGAGCCAAAGAGAACATGCAAAATTACAGAGAGCGAGAAAGAAAGAGTGAGAAAAAGATGAACAGCCTATGCAGGCAACGAAAGCAGCACACATTATCAAACCTGACAAGGCTCATTTAGACACAACCGTGATGAAAGGAGCTCTCAGGCTCGACTAATGTAGCTTTGTGAAAACGTTGTGACAATGCGGAGCATCTCACTTAAGAAACTCATCAGGGGTCCCCAAGGGGGCAGTAACCGGCTCAGTAAGGGAAAAAAATGCTGACATTGGTACGGGCACTACTGAACACTTCGCAGCAAACCTATAATAACAATGTCACTGCCGCAAAATAAAACAGGACGTCTGTGAAAGAGAGAGCGTCTCGTTTGACAAGTGATCCACTTAAGAATACAGAAATATCTAAAATATAAATAAGGATATTCAAAAGTCTAAACTGCATGGGATATTAACAATAACTTTCAGATGTTGAATTTGAGTTATTTTTCTTAGGCCCCAGGCAAATAGCTTTTTCTTGTTTAAAGCCTAAATCAATTTAGATTTATGCTTTAAATCGGGGGGGGGGGGGGGGGGGGGGCTATTTGCAAATGAGATTCACGTTATGTTCTTTGAGTACAATTTAAGAAGTTATGATATTCAGATCAACAGTATAATTTCAAGGGATGTGCAAAAAGTTCATATTCATGGGCAACACTTTATGATAACTGCACGCTATTAATCATTTGTTAAGCATGAGTAAATGGTTAATTCATCAGCATTAATAGACATTAATAAGTACTTTATTAATTCAGCTATAAATGCTTTTTTTCTTGATTTATAAGCATATCTATAATAGTGTTTTCATACATTGTTAATGATCAATGAATAATTTCTATATTTCTAAAATTGTCATAACAAAGACATTTTTGTCTTTGTTAATGTCAAGTTGTCATAAAAAATACATTTTAAACAATGTCAACTTTGCATTAAAAGTGCCATAATTTACTGAATGACACTTAATGACAAGAGTCATAAACATTCATAAAGACTCCTTCATGTTCATGACAGGTGTTCTGTCATGTTTATGACAGTGTCATGTTAGTCTTATGCACACTAACATACTTTTATGTTCAACAAAAGAAAAAAAAAAACAATATACAGGTTTGGGATGACATTGAAATGGTTTTCGTTCCAAAACTCCGCCAATCAAAATTGAGGAGCGGAAATGACTATTTTGAACTCGTCATGAAGAAGCAGTTGCGATCGTCATTATTGGTCTATTTTGACGTAAATCAGAGTCAAATGTCTTCTCGAACAATAAATACATTTAGGGCGGGACTTGATTTTGTCCAATTGGAATTGATCAGATGATTGTAGTTTGTTATTGTTATTGTCAATTATCCCACTTAAAATCTTCTTTCAGTCTTTTCTGACCTCACCTAATAGATATTCCTTAGAGGACAAGTTCATCCAGGGCTTTCCAGTGGCAGGTGGCATCACGCATGCCGCGGGCTGGGTGGCACAGATGGCATGACAGGTATGGCACTGCCTTC